AAAACTTTAAAATTCTTTCTTTTTCCTTTTTCCTTCTCTTTCCTTTTCTCTTTTCCCTTGAAGTCCTGGGTTCAATGGAACCCAGCACTAGGTTCAAAGGAACCTAGGCTCTGGGTTCCATCGAATTCAGGCCCTAGGTCCCTTGGAACCTAGTGCTAGGTTCGAAGGAACCCACACTTGGGTTCGACGAACCCAACACCTAGGTTTGATGAACCCAACACCTAGGTTTCTTGAAACCCAGGTGTTTACACCTAAAATAAACCAATAGGATAAGGCCATGTGTCAAGGTAAAGCCCAATTATAAAGAAAATCAATAGGCTGAATTTGAGCTAGGCTGGCTTACGATTTAACGGCCTAGACGGATTTCCAAGGAGGTTGGATCTTAGGTGGCAGAAGATAAGGTTGGATCTTAGGTGGCAGAAGATAAGATTGGATCTAGTAGTTTGAGTTTGATTTAAAATGGGAAATTGAGGGTTTTTAGGTAGTTATCTTAAGGGTTGTTGGAGATATTTTAGGTAGTTATCTTAAGGGTTGTTGGAGATAAGGTTAAATAAAAATCGGATAACTACTAAATAACTGCCAGACCTGCAATCCTATTACCAGATCATGGAGGAACAGTACCGAAAATGGAGGAACAGTACCGAAGATCATGGAGAAAGTTACCAGCACCAAAGAAAATAAATACAGAGAGAAGAGAACAGTTTGAAGGCCTACCCAACACACACACAGACTGCCCAGAGCATGTTTTTCAGCTTTCAGATTGCATTTTCCATATTTTAGCAATAGTTTTCAGATTTTCCAGATTAGTTCATAGCCTTAGCCTAGGTTTGTTCATCTTTGTTCATATTTTCTCCCGCAAATTCCAATTTAGATTAATTTTTAAGCATTTGGAAGCAACTTAGCCTTCAAAACAGGTCTGCCCTTTTGATTCGGTTAGTTCTTCTTCTTTTTATGGATTTAGTTATGTTATTCGTTCATGTAAATAAGTTGAACATTTTCTACCTTTGTTCTTTTGTTTCTGCACAATATCCAGACATGCAGTTTGTTTAATTTCAATTTTCAGATTTAAATTTATAAGTTCCCAAACTTTAATCATTTCATAGTTTCTTCTTCAATTTTCAATGGTCTGTTATTTTACTTTTTCTGTTGTCTACGAATTTAATCTTTATGGCATGTTATTTTCTGTTATTTACTTCATGTTAGTTTAATTGCTTTAGGATATTGCATTTATTTTAGGATTTGTAGTTTTTATTACACTTGTTTGGTTGTGAAGTCCTTGGAGATTTCTAAGGCAATTAGTAACCCATTTTGCAGAACTCTACCCTCTGTTTTGCAACATTGTTTGGGGCGCAATTCATTTCACAGACGTTCTTTCCAGCCATTCTTTTGGAGGTCGACTGCTGGAAAGGAGAAGAATCGTCTAGAAAATCCTATTTTCTTGTTTTTAGACAAAGCAAGTGGCACGCCTAACATCCAACTCACGTGGTAAAAGTCGACTGAGGATTTTTGAGGAAACACCAGGCCTAGGTTTTTTGGCAAAAAAAAAATTATGTGTTTTTGTGAGTTTTGTTGTTTGATGATAATGATGAAGAATTGATTAATGAAGAAGGAAAGGAATAGGGAGGAGAAAAGGAAAAATGAAGGAAAGGGAGAATTTTTAATTTTTATTCTCAAATCATTATTTTTGCTATGTTGTCTTTTTACTTGGACATAATATTTTGACACATCATTATACTTATGTTAATTAATGGGACACATGGGTAGATTTTTAATGAAAGAACCAAATTGGGGTAAAAATAGTAAATAACAAGGACCAAATCAAGGATTTTTTGAGTTGAGGTACTTAATCAAGGATCCATATAATAGTTGAGGGACCAAAAAAGGGATTTAACCAAAATGATGATTTAACCAAAGGAAAATGATTTCCGCATCCCGTGACCTGCTGCCCAAACTAAAATGCAGTAGCAGAAGGCCAAGAACACACCACTCATCTATCGGTTCGAATAGAAAGAACTTGATTTTTTTTCATTACAATCTTGAATTTGAGTTTTATGAATAAAAAAACAAGTGCTGAGAGAACTTTTCCTTAATGGGATCTAATCTAATTCAATTACAAATTAATTGAGATTCAATATAATTATTAGATAACGAGAAATTAGTATAAAAAAAGGCCATTAATACAACCGCCAAATATCCAGGTGCTCAAGTACTGCTGGCTATTACTAGCAGCGTCCACACCTTTTTTGGGACCTTCTCTTGGGACTTGTGGGGAAAGCGTTCCCAACTTTTTTTCTTCACTTGAATTTTTAAGTTTATTTATGGATTTTTATACCTTAATATTAGAACAAAATAAGGATAAAAAAGTATATTTTTAATATTTTTTATATAATTTTATACAAATAAATTTTTCTTCACACATTTTTTTAAAGAAACAAATTTTGTATCCAATTTTTTTTATATAAAACTTCAGTTGATAAATTGTTTACAAATTTATATATATATATATATATATTTGAACTGAAGCTAAATTTTTCTTATATGTGTTTTTTCTTACTAAGCACGAAAAATTAATAATTTAACAAAATTTCAATAAAATTTCATTATAAAACTTAGTAACTTCTAGTAAAGTACTTTCACAATCATTTTATTAGTAAAAACTTTCCCTTTATAAATTTAAGTTTGCAATAACTCAACAAAGACAACCTGAACGTTATGCCTTTGAAAGAGTTACAACAATTTACCTTCCTGAATTCCACGAAGTTTGATCCTTCAGAAAAGTTTCTCTTAGGCATTGGAAACTATATAAAGAAAAGGGCTGCTTCACCAAAATTCTAAACTACCAGAAGGAAAAAGAGGAGAGTAACGTAGCCCAAGTTGTTCAAGCAAGATTTGAAATGCCATGGAGACCAGAACCTCAAACAATTCCGGCTTCATTGGACGCAGTCCATGCAGAGTGCAAGAAGGAAAAACGAATTTACAAAGAAATTGGCAAAGGCATAGACTCTGTTTGCTTAAATCCAGAGTATTTATGAATTTTGTTCCAAAGCCCAAACCTATCTTTACAAAACATCAAGGGCATATGGTGGTGGGCATAGAAGACAAACAATAAGGGCAACTTAATTATGTCAAAACAAAATAAGAGTCATCAGAGTCATAATACTCACCTTCATCATCATCATCATCATCATCATCATCATCATCATCAAGGAATTCTACATCAGAGTCCTCATGATCGTCATGCCAAATGCGACTCTCCTCCCATGCTGGACATGAACAAGTTGCCTTTTTGTCCTTCCACTCGGATCCACAGTTGTAGCAGAACTCATAGCCACATCTACATAACAATCAACCATCAGGTTTATTTAGTTGTCATCTTAGGTATTTGACATACCAAATTAGAAAACATAAAATTTTTAAAACAACTACAAATAAAAATAGAGTACCTGCAAGTCATGTGCCAGCAACCTTCTGAAATTTCTATCATATGTTTGCACTTCACACATTGACGCCACATATTCCTTGTTGCCAGAGACTTTAGCTTCAAATCTTCTGCTGGTGGATTAGGATTCGAGCTTTTGTAGTCATTGCATGTCATTTCACTGTGCCAAGGGACCTTACAGTTAATACAGAAAAGGCCATGACATTTTACACATTTCTGTGCACCTGACCTTTCATAACCCACAAAAGCATTTTTAGGATCTCCTGAAATCTCACTTCTTGACATCAATGCTGAGCACCGGGGATATGGGCAATAAACTTTTTCTGTGACAGGAATTGAAGCTTCCTTTATACGCTGTTTCAATGTCTCAAGCATATTTGGTGTCAAAATTTTTGTGCAGCTTTCAACACTAAGCTCAGATTTACAGTCTTCATGAGGACATTTAGGCATTATCCCATGAAGCAACTTCACCTCCACATGCTGTTTAATACAAGAAAAGCAGTATTGATGCAGGCATCCATCAACAGCAAACATCTGCTCCATGTCGGTATCTTCTAAACATATAACACAAGTCTCTTTAATTGACTTGCCACGATTAGATTCACTAGATCTGTTAACCTGAGAAAGTACTGCTTCCCTTGCAAGTTGAAATGCATACTTTATATCATTACGTGCCACAAGTACTGGCTCACAATACATAAATTTACTTTGGAGATCAGACACCTGCTCAACTAACTTTGCAATCTTCTGCTGCCTCGGTTGCCATCTTTTATTGATCTTAAAAATTCAGATTACCAAAAATACAATGTTAATAACAGTTAGATAACTGTTCATCACACGTTATCCACAAGCAAACTCAGAACCATTTCAATAAATTACACATATTTCAGACAACATGAGACAATTTGCACTTTCTATATAAGCAACATTACAATATAATTGTTCTTCCAAATGTTGTCCAACTAGCATCCAACATGGCCAAGAAATGTTTCAATAAATTAAACATATTCAGAGAACATAGAACCATTAAACTTTCTATAAGCAAGGGAATCCAAAATTTTCCAAAGCTTCAATATTTATTCTGTTTTCCTGAATATGAAGTCCATTACTAGCCACTAATACATAACCCAGCAAGAAAAAAATACCAAATCCAGTGACTTCCATGGCAACTGAAAAGGGAAAAGGAAAAAGGAACTCACATATTTGAAAATAGGTTTGAAATCGCAGAAAAACTGAATCCTCTTGAGTTCCAAAAATAAGGCAGCATTAAGCCCTTCAATCAAAGCTTGAATCTCTGCTGTTTGCCTGTTGCGACCATTACCAATCAAGGGCTTTTTGATTTCCAAGATCAAATTATCCCTAAAATCACAAATTGCGACCCCAATTCCTGCCAAAACAACGTCCTGATTGTTGATCCTTTCGTGACTAACCCTCCCCTTAAAATACAGTCTAAACTCGCCATCGTCCTCACTCTCCACGTCTTTAGAACATCCTTCTCCGAAAGGCCTCTCGAAATCAGCACCCCACTCCTCCCATTCATCCTCCGGCATTTCCTCAACATCTCGCGCGAACTTCTCGTCGTGGATTCGGCGCTGGAGATCTTCCTTTATCCTTTGCATTTCGATGAGGGATTTCTTGTGATCGAGGGCCTCTTGCTGAAATTTTGAGAGCTCTAGGCCGGAAAAGGAGATGACGGTTTCTTTCTTGAGTGGAGACTCGACGGTTGAAGTCGCGGGTCGAGGAGGAGCAGAGGTGTTTAGGGCTACGGAGGCGGTGAGAGCTTCCTCGAGTTGGAGGCGGAAGGCGAGATCCAGATCAGACTCAAGCGAGTGTGCCGCCATGATCTCGTGGTGCTGCTGAATCAGAACGGAGCTGCGGTCGTCTACACCTTGGTCTCCGCCGGTTGCAGCCACTAAAATTGATGCTTCGGTGCTAAGTTTCGAACCGCGGAGTACTACGTTTGGATTTGGACCTGGTTTTTGGGCCTGGCTGGATCACAGTTCCAGAAATATGGGTTGAGTATTTTTTAGCCCACTGGATCTCCAAGACGGACTAAAATCAACCCATTTATCTTGTTTCCCCATTCATCCACAAATTCTTTACTCGTTTGTCCATTTGCATTCATCCATTTACAAAGTTGTCCATCTGCCTCCATATATCCCTGCACATGTCCATTAATCTATTTATCCATACCCATTCGTTCATTCGTCCGTCAGTCCGTCCATAAACCTATTCACAATTTTCTATGTCATTTGTCTACCCATAAATTTATCTACCAATCTACTTGATCTTCCTTCGTTACATCCATAAATCCTTCCACCCTTTGTCTACAAATTAGTCTGTTCATCAATTAGTCCGTCCATAAGCTTATCTATTTGTTCGCTCATTTGTCCACAAATCCATCCATTCATAAATTTGTTCATGAAGTTATCCGATCATTTATCTGTTCATTTATACTTTTATCTATTTATAATTTGACCATTCGTTTATACACATTTATTCACAAACTTATATATTTATTCATAAATTTATATTTATCCATCTAAAAACTCTGATGGACTTTGGTAAAAAAAAAAATTTTTTTTATGGTACCAATGTATCATTATTGATTCCCTTGACTTATTTTTATATATAAAAGTGAAATTATATGAAACGCTAAATGGGCTTAAAAGTCTTCATTAAAAAAAAAAAGCTAAAAAGTCCCAATGAACATGCGATTCTTAGGTCTAGTCTTTTTGTGCTCATTGGCCATCATTTTCGAAATGGCCTCCACAACCAACCACAAAGAAAAAAATTCTAAACTTCGCTTAGACTGATTGACCATATATTCCTAAACATTGTCAAACCATACTAGCTAGCTAGTTGCCTTTTTCTTGTAGAATTTTAGAGCAATTGTTTAACTGATTTTTTGTCGTCCATCTAGAAAGGAAGAAATTGTAAGTAGATGAATCAGTCAGTTGTAATTCGGCAAAAACAGGGTGCAAATTAATGCCGACATTAATAAACCAAAATTTATCCCTTTTGGTCTCATTAAAAAATATGAAATCTTAACCCCAAAATCTTTACGTTGAAAAATCCACTACGTGTGCAATATTTATTTTCAAACATGCATACACGTTTAGCCTCGGAGCATCTCCATTGTTCAAATGCAGCAAATGGGATTTGAAAAATGCCATAAAAAGTTAAAACAATTTATTTACCGAATTTTTTGTTATATATAGAAGAAAGTGAGAATATACCTCTTATAGTCATGGCATGGGTCCCTCCAAACATGTCCTTATCATTTTTCCTTAATTATCAATTTTTCATATCATTAAAGGCAAAAAATTATAATTGCTTGAAGTTTTTTCTTTTTGGTTTTTTCTAACACACCATTTAACTATTAACATCTATATATGAAAAATTGTAAAAATAAATATTATTTTTAACTATAATATTATATAAAATAATTTAATTAAACAATTGATAAAATTAAAAGTAACTTTCTTTTATAAAAACATCAACTTTTATTTTGTATATAGTCTAAATTAATGGTAAAATTAAAATATGTAATAAATAAACTCTCAACTTGTGTTTTAAAAGCATGGATTAAGATTTTTTTTTTTTTTTTTTTACCTTGTGTCCTTCATGATTGCTTGAGGTTTGACCTAATTAATTACGTACTCTTTTATCAATTACAAATCAAAAACCTTAAGAATGGTGTAATTAATAATGATTAATTTTGTGATAAAAAGATGAAATTGATTGGACCTATGAACCGATAATTGATTATACGCGTTTGAGAAAGCAACTTTACTTGCAACTTTGGAGAAATGTCTCATAAATTGGTAGCCAGCGCCCCGGAAATCGATGATCTTCCACACGAGCCGTGACTTTAATCCAAAGCCTAGATAGATATAGTCAAAGGCTCAATGCCGATTATCGGTTGCAATGAGAAAACGGATCTATACGCACATCACAACAAGTTCAAAAAGACTGCGCTCGAGCAACAAAGTTTACGTAAGACCATATGTAAATCAAAAGTTTACAAAAGAGAATGTCAGCATCAAAAGAAATTTATAAGTTCAATTAATTTGTACAAACGTTGAGATGGCTTTCAAAAACCATGAGTTGTTTTCCCACTGAATTAACTAGAATAACATATTCAATGTAACTAGATATTTGTAGATAATTAGTGTTGTTTAATTGTTAACTTCTAAAAAGGGCTTTCTAGCTACATTGTGCATATACATGCATGCAGGAAATGCCTTCTTCATTCTTTGTCTTTATCGCAGCACAGCTTTTGAATAATGTTTGCTTAATTAGGTAGCTAGGTGGCGTCTTAAAACTACTTTAAAATTTGACCTAACACCATTATGGCAATCACCAAAGCCAGAGCAGCAAGAGCATCGATCTCAAATGCTATATTTTTATTGTTTATATTATTTTACTCAATTTATATGTTAAGATTTTAAATGTGATTGTTTATTTCGATATATAAAAACTTATAAAATATTTTTTTAAAATTACACAAATATTATTTTTACTCTAAAAAAAATTAAAATGTAGAAGAACGAGAGAGAGAGAGAGAGAAGAGCAATGAAGATTGTCAACGCCTAACAAAGGTAGAATTAGGAATTTTTCTGATAGAGGATAAAAGCGGTTTTGTTAGTAGATGGAAAATTCGCCCGCCAGGTTTGATCAAATTGCAAATTCTTGATCATGTTATACCGTCTCCTCATCTGATATATACGAGCATTGAGTATGTCTTACATACAAGCTCATGAACTTTTGTATTAATTGCAACCGAGATGAGCAAATTATACATCATTTTTACTGGGACAGATTACCCTTTTGCACTGGAAAAGGTTGTTGCTGAGTAGTAGTTAACCAAGAAGCATGAAAAAAGCATTGTGTCATCATCAGTGAAATATGACACTGATGTGCATTAACCCAACAAGTATTTTAACAGGGTTTCAAGAAAACTGATCGAGGT